GAGCTCAATGTTAGCTATCCGTTCAGAAGTTTTTAACTCTGCAAATAATGCTGAAAGTTTCTTGTTCTCCTCGGTCAGGCTAAGCATTTGAGCCTGAAGAATCAGAACTTCCTCACAGAGCTTGGCATACTCCTCGTCAGTAAACTCCTTCTTTGTCAATGCAGTTACACGGACATGGATTGCATCCTTCATGGCTTTGTCTTTTCTAGCAATCATGGCGCCCACTTTGTGGATCTTTTGGACTCCCTACAAGTCAAGGAAAAAAATAGTAAAAATCGAAGATAAATTTTGATAAAATCAAATGTTGTAAGGAAAAGAAATACCAAAATCATCTGCTGGATTGCTTGTTGTGTGATTTCATCATCTGATAAAGCCTCATTTGCGACTAAGTCTTGAGGAAAAATTCCCCCCTGGTGATCCCCACTGCTACATTAAAGTCCTTGGCAGCAGAATCCTTCACTGTGATCTCCCTCATTTTCACTTTTAGAATAGGTCAGAAGGGGGGAGTCACAGGCTTTGAAATCGGTGTTGTGTCAAAATTTGAAAATTTGCGCTTCTTAGGGGCAAGATCATTAGATAACTCCAAAATTGACTCAAGGCGGTCATCGGGAGATTGACGTGGAACATGAGGAGGCTCTATTGGGATAATCGTCTCAGCAACCCAAACCAAGTCATTTGGGGTACCCTTTGTGGAACCTCATGGTTTGACTCGACAAGGGCTGCTTTAGCAGGATATTCAGGTGCAAGCTCTTGCACAAGTATAGAAGAGTTGGCTGGAACAGAAGACTCAATCGGTGTAGAAGATTCAATGGGTGCAGAAGGCTCAGCAGACAACAAAAAATAAAGAAAATTTCTGACCAGCCTGTTTCTTCCTGAAGGACTGAGCAAGGACTTTTTGCAGGATCGAGGAGTTTGATCCCAAGTAGACTGGAGAGCTTGGCGATCTCTAACAAGGGCATAATTTGGTCTGGATGGGACAACAATAAATGACATGTAAATTGGAGTGTACCGGAGTAATGTGTCAGTAGCTCGGTTGTAGAGTGAGTCATTATAGTCCCACACCCTCTTCAATTCATCCATCTTGATAGCACGCTCAGGGACTCTTCCCTTCACAGTTTTGCCTTCAAAGAAAAGACAACATAACCAAAAATACTAAATGAATGTACTAAGAAAGTAGAGTAAAAACATCAGTCACCTGGTGCGCCTTCCTCATAGGGGCAATGATAAGAAGGAGTAGCACCAGTTGGATACTTCTAATTCCAGAAACAAAGACCACGTCGTTCTCATGGCCCTTTTTTGAATTTGGAAGATAGGTCACCAGATAACGATCCTTCTTTCTCACTGCAAGGTAGTAGTTATCTCCAGCTGGTTTAATGATGTAACAATGCAAAATCTCCCATAAACCAAGACTCAAGTTTAGAAGCTTGTTCAGAGCAGCCACACCCATCACTATTTTGAAGAAATTGGGGCAACATTGGGTAGAGCACAGCCTCATTTCTAATAGCACCCAAAGTAGCAGAGGACCGAGGGAGAAACGAACACTGCCCTCTATAATTGCACAAGTATGGATGGGAATGCTCTTCCTGGTTCCTATTAGAGGTTCATCAGTGCTAGCAAATCGTACATCGACATCTTTAGGAATGTTATATTTAGCTTTGAAAGTAGGAATTTCAGAAGGAGTAAGAGGAGCCATAGTAGAAGACGAGGAAAACACAGAGTGAAGTAGAGAAGCAAATAAATCTAAAGGTGAAGAGGTAGAGTAGAGAAGAAGAAGACAGAAAAACTCACTTAAAAAGGGGTAAGCGAAGTTCAAGAGACGATGTTTAAATGCAAAATATGCCGCCAAAACAAAGGGGGATGTTTCAAAAAGTACGCACAATGATGGTTTGGGGGCATGAAACTATTGACAGATGAAAAGTTCCCGTCACACGTTTTCTAGGGGCAAATGAAGAGGTTGCTTCCTTTATGACACGTGTAATAACATTAAATGATCTCACGTGAGGGTGACAAGACTAGTCACGTGAGAAAGACATCGCTAGACGTTGTCATTAGATAGCTAACAAGCTATTTAGAAAGCTCGGAAAGGAAGGAATAAGCTCGGTCCTCGTCATGACCGAGCTGTTTAAAATAGTAAACATGGTGCTAAAACGATGTCTATAATTCAGGAATTCTAGTTAAACGAATGGGCATGATCATAGGCTCGATAAAAGGAATTGTTAAAGAGATCATAGAAACTTCCTGAACAGAATCACCTGATTAAGGAAATGTGTACCACCTTGAATTAAAAATCATGGAAACCCTAACTAAAAAAGACTATATAAAAGACATAAGAAGTCAAGGTGAAAGGTACACTAAACTCTCATTGTCTTTTTGTAATTTACTCAATTTTATTACTAACTTAAGCATCGGAGTGTCTTCGATCAAAGCACTTCAATCTTGGACAATTTGCTCATTTTGCAAGAGGGAAAGACTTGGAGATCGAGTTCAGAGCTCATTTACGAAAGAGATATCATTCCTTCACTCCTGTAGGAGGTACTTTCGCTTTTTGCCTCTTACAAGAATGTAGCTAGTGTTCTTCACTTGTTGATTTGATGAACATGTTATGATCTTAATAGTTGTATTATTGAATACATGAACTTGTTGTTACGTGGATTATGATAAGCATTCTAGGTGTATAAATTCTATGCATATTAAATGTTTGATGAAATGTTGTAGTGTGGACAAGTATGCTATATGGGTTAATTGATGCACATCATATGTTTGAAAAATGCTACAATGAGAAAATATATGCTTCTTGTTATATTTGAGATTGTAAGTCTATCTAAATTTCATTTGGGCATACATGGCATGTGCACGAGTTTAACACAACATCCATGATGCATTTGACATGGTAATGTGTGTTTGTGTATGGGTTAATAACTTACCATATCGGTGAGTGGGTGGGGCTTGAGAATTGGACTAAGTTCCGATTAAATCTCACGAAAATATGCATGATAATATGTCAGGGTATAGCAAGAAGGGATAAATTCTCCATCAGGTGCAATATTCGGTTATGTTGATCACACATTAGCTGCTGGTATAAAGAGATCAGAAAAGTGTATCGGTATACATGGAACTATAGATGTAATATCCTCAAAATCCATGTCGATTTGATAACCACTTGGTGGAAGTACTTAAAAATTTAACCCATAAAGACAATATATTAAATAAAAAGTCATTGAGTGAGCAATTCAAAATGAGTTATGTTTTATTATATAGAAGTAGTAGTGTGCTTCGTGCAAAATACATTTTTTTTAATGTATATGTTAAGTTACTTTGATTGAAAGTAAAATTTAAATGAGTTCCTATAATTAGAAGACTAAAATATTAAAATTTAAATAAATTACTGTATTTTATTAGTATTGATGTTCGAAATATGCATGCATTCATGTATTGATAAAATTTAAAAAGAAGGATAATTATTATCTACGTCCCTTCTAGATAGATATATTTTTAATGAGACTCTCTTCATTATCCAAAATATCATTGACATCCCTTTTAGTTTTTATTTAAATATTATAATACTCTTCTACAGTTAAACCACTGTATCTGATAAAAAAATTCATCTAAAATATCACAATTGTCCCTACATAAATTCCAAACAATATTTCTATATAAAATTTGATTAAATATTGAGCCGATTAAAATTCATTTAAATGTATTAAAATTTAAGTCAATTAAAATTTGATTCGAGCTGATTAAATTTTTTTACGTATTAAAATTTGAGCTTATTAAAATTCTTTTTCTTAATGTTTAAAATTTGAGCTAATTAAATTTTTTTTTTTTACGTATTTGAGTGGATTAAAATTTATATTTTGTATATATCAAAATTCGAGCCGGTTAAATCAATTTGAGTTGATTAAAATTCAATTCGAGCAGATTACAATTTATTTTTAATCGACTTTAATCAAATTTTAATCAGCTCAAATTTTAATATGTAAAAAAATATAATTTTTAATTGTCTCAAATTTTAATATGTAAAAAATAAATTTTAAGTAGCTCCAATTGAATTTTGATCAATCTAAATTTTAATACATATGAAAATTCAAAAAACAAAGGATATATCTAAAAGGGGTGTAGATGAATTTTTTTACATATTAATTTTTTCACGTTTCGAGATGATTAATTTTTTTTACGCATTAAAATTTGAGCTTATTAATTTTTTTTTTAATATTTAAATTCGAACTGATTTGACCTCAACCTGAGCTGTTAGGGCTAATTAAAATTATATTCGATTCGATTAAAATTTTTTTTTTTTACGTATTAAAATTCGATTCAAGCTAATTAAAATTATTTTTTTGGTATTAAAATTTGATTCGATTAAAATTTATATATTTTATATATCGAAATTTGGGCCAGTTAAAATCAATTTGAGTTGATTAAAATTCGATTCGAGCATATTATAATTTATTTTTAATCAGCTTTAATCAAATTTTAATCAAGTCAAATTTTAATGTGTTAAAAAAAAATTAATTAACTCAAATTTTAATATATAAAAAATAAATTTTAAGTAGTTCAAATCGAATTTTAATAGATCCAAATTTTAATACATATAAAAATTCAAAAAACAAAGGATATATCTAAAAGAGTGTAGATGAATTTTTTCTAAAATATATTTAATAAAATTGCATTCGTTGTGTTAGGGGCATAATGATGTTTTATATAATAGAAAGATATTTATCGAGAAAGGTTGTCAATGATAACTACCCTGAAAAGAAAGAAACCTCGCGTACATTTCTCCCGATTCCCACTCTTAACACGCAATACAGAGACTAACGTCATCCATTTGACTACACCCGAGGGTAAGAACGAGCTTCCAGCTTCCCCTTCTCCTGTGCTCTTGATGAGAACTGAAAAGTCTCCCTCATAGACTTCGTTAGCGCCTTGAATAACATCACCTCTACAAACCCATCTGAAAATCTGAAGAAAATCGAAGTGCTTCTTCTTTCAGTCGAGCGAAAATGGCGTATGTGGACCACGCGTTCTCGATTTCCGACGAAGACGTAATGATGGGGACATCGTACACGGTGAACAACCGACCGCCGATCAAGGAGATCGCTCTCGCAGTCTCTCTCCTGGTTTTTGGAACCCTAGCCATCATCCTGGGCATTTTCATGGCCTTCAACAGAGTCGGCGGTGACAGAGCTCACGGTACAACCACATATGCTATTCTTATCCAGTTTAATTTTGTTAATTTCCCTTCAATCTTTTTCTTGATTCTGGTTTTGTCCCTTTTTTTGGCTTTTATTGGTGTGTAATTTAGTATTTAATATTGTTCATTGCCCTCCAATCTCGTTCTTGACTCCAAATTTTTCCTTATTTTTTTTTCTTTTGGCTTTTTGTGATTTAGGGCTATTCTTTGCGATATTGGGAGGAATTTTGTTCCTTCCGGGGTTTTACTATACCCGGATTGCGTACTACGCCTACAAGGGTTACAAGGGTTTCTCTTTCTCCAACATACCTGCTGTGTAAAGTTGGCCTCTGACCACACTACTCTGTGTATAGATCTCTTAGTTCACTGTTCTTTTTCATTTGTATGCCAACCTTTTTTTTTGTTTCTTTGAATAATGTGAATGTATAATGTTTCATGTTCTAGACAATCAGACTTTGCTTTGTTTCTTCTTGTGATATAGTAAAAATTTTGATCATCTGTGGGGTGTTGGGCGTGTTAATATCTACCTTTGTGGATAGAAAAGATGAAAGAGGGAAGTTCTGGATGATTTGAATGTCCCCTTGTATACTCATTTGTGGGATTTAAATTGCCGATGTTATCATTTAATCTGTCTCTTCATTTTAATGATAATATCTTATAGGGGTATGTGAAGCATTTCAATTACATGTCAAATAGAAGATGCCATTCGAATTGTTACAGAACATCCTTTAGGAAATTATTATGTTATGTTTTAAAGGGTAACATTGATATATATGTACAAGAAAAAATTTGTTGCTTCCAAGGCTTCAAAAACTGATAATTATTAGTGTGGGAATCAAGAAATTGAGGATTGGCTTGAATGAATGAATCGATTTGGTGCTCTTTCTTCATGCAAAACCAACAAACTGCCACAAATTGGACTGGCCGGAGGCATCGATGCTTAAGTCAGTAGGTCCTGAGATTAAACTTGCAAATTGTAAAGAAAAGAGTACGTATCTTATACTTAAGCTTGTTTGATATTTATAGGATTATGTCCCGATCATATAGGATTTATAATTCTGGTTGGAATTATGGTAGTCCACCTGAATTCTAGCCGGATATACCCTTATGTATGTTCTAGCCTGTTTAGGCTTTAATTCCCATTAGTAGTTCTTTAAGGTTACATGTTAATAATGTGTACCTTGTATAAATCCTAACCCTAACCAGTCTTCATGACCACCTTTGGTCTTCGAGGATAGTCTATTATTTCTATTCGGATAAGCTTTATACTTATCTGATTTTTCTGTGGAATTATAGTTTCATTAATATACTATCTTGTTTGATACGTCCTTAATTGAATTCTCTAAGGCTTTGCTTGGCATAAATCCACTACTCGGGAATGTTGCTCAACCGAGCCAACCATTTCTTGTTGATTTTCATTCTGCTCAATTATCTTTTCAATCTATTCGCATGGACTCGTTTTGGTTCGGCCAGAGGCACTCTGTCTCTTAAAACGGTCCTTTATAATATCCGCACATGCTATTTTTCACGTGCCTTCGTATAGCTGTCCCATCATGATCAGTATACATGTTTTACTAGAAATAGAATGAGAATCAAATTGTTATGGTGGTTTTTCCACTTGAAACTTTTTATGAGCTTTGATATGCTGAGAAGTGTGCACTTTACACTTACTCATCACTTCAATCTAGGCCTTAAGGATTAATTTGGCCAATTTGAGGTGTTGAACGTCTACGCATTTTACAAAGCATCTACTTTAAAGCTCTTTATTCAAATTTGTTGCTTTGGGGCAGTTGGCAATGGATGTGGAGCTCAATGTGAAAATCATATCCTATTGAGGCTCCATTTGGTTTTGCAGGATGTTATATGTGAAGTTGATTCTTGGAAATAATGAATTAAATCAAGAGAAAAGATTAATTGAAAGTTTATTGTGTTAAAGGGGATGAAAAATAAGAAAGACGCTTTTCTGCCCTGTATTTAGTATAGGACTCAAATTCCTTAGGAGGTATAACTAGGTATTAGTTGACATAAATGGTTTGAGGGAAAGTAAACTCTTTTGGAAAACAATGATTATACGATTCCACTACAACCATAGGGACGAAATTGTTCGGAACACTCATTATGTTTCAATAGTGAGGAAACTTGAATAGATTTTGTGGGATTTTAATCTTTGAAGATGGTCTAGGTAAGGTGATCCTAAGGTTAGGCCGCTTTGGTATTTTTAATCGTCAGTGGCAGAAAAGGCCTTATTAGACAGGTTGCTTTGTTAATGTTGGGATAACATAGCTGCCTGAATTAGTATAGTTGGATTGCCCACAGGTGATTTGTTTGTAGTCATTTTCACAGTGTGAGTACCTAAGAATGTTAAGCTAATCAGCTAATCAACATTTTTTTCACCATTGAATGTATTTTGCAGCCTCCATACCGATTTAGGACGTAGGTCTTTGGAAGTTCTCACAAGTTTGTGGTTTAGGACAAGATGTTTAAAGGTTGTATGGGGTTGTTTATACATTTCTTTTTGTCTCCAGTATTTCTAAGGCCTATAGCAAGCCTTGGGACATTAATTCGCAATGCAAATTGACGTTTTGTCTATATTTGGCTAGCCTAAGGCTAGTAATGTTTGGGTAAATTTCCATTGATTAGTTTGAATAGGTCCAACATTTTAAGTAGTTTCAATAGAATTGTGTCGTGTCATGTGCAGGTCATATCATTTCGAGTTCATGTCATTTCAAGTTATATTGTGTCTGTGTCCTTTTTGTGTGCCCGATGAACTAGAATCCACATGATTAGGACTCCTTTTTATCTATCAATCCATTATGCAAAGGTCTCCCATACCTAATCCTAAACTATTCATACAATATTCGATCAAGAAATAACAAAAATTAAAAAAATATTTTTTTTCTAACAATACCCTTTAGAAACTGCCAACACTGAATTTGTGTTGGACCATTTTGTTGGCTTGCGCCAATTAAAATGTGCGCATACTTGGTAATGACAGCTGGTCTTCACCTGAAAGCATTATTTGTACCCAATTCCAGGATATTGTAATAAGAATTTTGCATTTTGAAGAACTTTATGTGGGAAGGAATCTAGGGAAGTAAACTAGCTTAGAAGGCTTTCTTTCTTTCTTGCCATTTTTCAAGAAGATTAATTGTTTTAGTGGGAGATGTTTTTTATTGGAGTTTATGTGGCCCCTTTTTATCACTCGTCGTTAAACAATTTTCACTTCCTTGGACTAGAACATATCTTTTCTGTGAAGTATCTGTGGTTTTATTAATTTTATTGGCCACATGTCAAATGACTTTGCAGATAAATTGGCAAATTGATCATGGATTGGGGTTTGAGTGTGATCAGAAATGAGATAGTTCAGGATTTTGAATTATGCTTGTTTTTCATTATAGACAACCAGACCACCTTGGAAGTCATTCTTGAATTGTTGCTTACAAAGTCTCATGGATTTCAAATAGGTGAAGCCCTCAATTAAAAATTATATAATATGCCCTATGATGACTAACTGAATTGGGGAAAAGAATTTTTCCAGAGCTGGGGAAGCGCAAAGAGTACGACACTTTATTTCCTTGCAAATCTATAAAACAATTGCACAACTGGGGTAACCCTTCCCTACACATAATCATCTCCTAAACAACCCCCCCCCCCCCCCCCCCCCCCCGAAAAAAAAAAAGAAAAAAAAAGAAATCCTTGGATTTTCTTCCTTCTTTCTTTTGATCGTTCTTTGTTCCACCACCTCTTATTCTTTTACTCCTGTTGCTGCTCTCTTTCTGCCTCCCTGAAGTTAAAACTCTTCTTATGGGACTTTATTTGTGGTCCTTAGTTTGTCTTCCCGCTTTTGGATGGTCGTAAGAAAGAGTAGACTGATTGTTATCCGAGTGTTAATTCTGAGCCTAGGTCAAACAGAATTTGTAAACAAGCCAGCAGCCCCGTAAATATTGATGCCCTATTCTAACTCAAATATGAGTTAGTTTGGAGACTTTGAACTGTCTGAACTTTTGCAGTTTGTGCATCACTACTAGAATAGAAGTGAGATATTTTACACGTAATTCTGTGTAAAAAATGATTTTTAATCATTGTGAAACTTTCAAAGGCTCCTTAGACGGGCAGGGGTGTGTTGACTAGCTTTTGTTTTAAGGATTAGTTGACCTGTAAAATGCTGCTGCTTCTACAAATTGACTGTAATTTACAATCATTCAAGTTGTTTGGTAATTCGTTATTCTGACAATGATGGCAACAACTTGGGTTCATGATGCTTCAATTATGCATGAACCTCCTTAGACAGACAAGGGTGTGCTGACTAGCTCTCGTTTTAAGGATTAGTTGACGTGTAAAATGCTGCTGCTTCTACAAATTGACTGTAATTTACAATCATTCAAGTTGTTTGGTAATTCGTTATTCTGACAATGATAGCAACAACTTGGGTTCATGATGCTTCAATTATGCATGAACCTTCTGGATGCCACTTGGTTCCCTAGAGAAATGGTTTGGAAACTTATTTGTTCCCCTTGCTGTTTAATGTTGATCAAATATGATGTGTTGCAAATGGATATAATAAGTCCATTCCGAATTATGTTCTGGGATCATCTTGTTTGATTGATTTGATGAGGCAGCTTAGGCCGCTTGGTGTGCATAACTTGCTGAGCTTCCATTCTCGACACAGGGTTGGGTTTTGGGGCAGACCGGCAGAGAAAAGAAAAGGATGAAAAGAAGAAGCAGGAATATGTGTCATTGAAAGTTGGATTCTCTGGAATCAACTAATGGTCTTGTGTTTAATACTTTCTGGGCCAGATTTTTTTGTTTGGGACACGCGAGATGTAAATATATGGTTGCAAAGAGAGAATGAATTCCCACTCTTGTAATGTTGAGAGTAGGACACTCTTTTAACTAGTATGTATTTTCTGTAGCCCAAAAATTGATTTCCATGCTCTTGCTTTCATTTTGCGATGCATTGCCCTCAGTTTTTCTTTTTGGTGAGAACAAGTGTTATTGGTAAGTTTTAGACACCAAAGATAATTATATTGTCTACTATCTTAGCAAGTACTGAATCTTAAATGAAGGTGAAATGTTGATTGTCTGGATCGTCCAAGACATCATACGAACATGGGAGTGGTGTTGGTGCAAACTTTTGTTTCTTTTTTTATCTTTGACATTTGCATGCACATTGGTGGCTCATTGGGGTTGGGTGAGGCGGATGGGTGAGGAATTTTTTTTTTTTTTTTTTTTGGGGGGGGGGGGGGAGGAAGGGAGTCTGGCTGACCACCGCCATCGCCCTTTGTCACCATCCACCATCATCATCATCACTACCAACCAC